TCAACAGGAGAAATTTAAAATCAATATGATCTATAATCACATATCTTTGGTTTACCATGTAAGACTTGCTGCCAAATTTAGAAATTTTCCTTTATTCACCCTGGTCCTTCCTTTTTGACTAAATGTCCTTCTTTCTCAAGTACAGACTTCAACATTTTCTTACTGAGAGTCTCCTGGTGCTAACTTCTCTGTTATCTGTTCATTTAAAGTTTTCTTTATTTCACCCTCTTCTTGGATGTTACTTTTCTAGATACACAATTTCATCCTCAAATTATTACATTTCTTTAGCCTTTTGAAGTCATTATCCTACAGTCTTCTGGAACCTATTGTTAGCTTGAAGAAGTCTGTTTTTGGCCAAATTGTCATTAATTTGTAGCCAACTATCTTTCCTCTCTTACTGTCATTAAATTCTATAGCTTTCTTTGGTGTTCTGTAGTTTCATATGAATAAATTTCATAGGCATTATGCTAAGTCATAAAAATCAGACATAAAAGACTACATACTGCATAATTCTGTTTAAATGAAATTCTAGAGAAGGCAAGCTATAGTGGGGATAGTGTTTAAGCATCCATGTTTTAAAGTTCCCTTGATGATTCTTAGATTTAGCTGAGATTGAGCTGCAACTGTGCAAATTGAAGCACAGAGAAATTGGTTGACCACTGAGAAAATATTTTAGTCATGTACTTCACCCCTCAAGCTAAAAATATGAAAGGAATCAACATTTATTAAGCATTTGTGAAGTTCCAAGCTCTTTATTGTGTGATTTGTAAATAAAATCACTTAAATCTCACAATATTTTTTAGAGTTAATTATCATAAATTTCCACATGATAAATAGCTCAACAAGCTCATATTTAAGGGGTTAGTGAGTAGAGGAGCTAAAATTTGCAGGCTGTCAAGTTCTAAAGCTATATTTTTCCTATAATTTCATAATGATCACACATACAGCCAAATATCATTGAGTGTGGCTCTCAGGAAAACAGCTTCTCACAGGCTTATGTACCAAAATTGTTGCTACTGCTCATTCCATCCTCCATTACCACATTCAGTTTAGATCTGTTTAACCTATGTTTAATTATTGACCAGAATTCACTGGGGATACAGAGATACCTAAGGCAAGGTTTATAATCATTTTCAGGCTCTCAGAGTTACACATAATATATTCTTTCTTTATCCTATGTTTCTTGAAAATATTGAGACTAAAAATAGGTGTGGCAGATGTGAGTTCAAAATAACATCATTCTTAGTGATGAAAATTATTTTGAAGGACTTAGTTTGGTTAGAGAGTCAGTGACCACTCCGACTAAACCCCAGAGTTAGGCACTTCCTCCTGATCAGAACAGAAAGACTTAATAGATAGAAGAGAATCAGAGAACACACGACTTCTTTAGAAAATCTCACTACCACAAAATGCCTGTGTATACGTGTGTGAAGGAGGTGTCTTAATTAAGCTTACTCAGTTCATTCCTAACAAATTCTCAAATCTATAGCTTCTCTCTGGCACATAGTGAATAAGGGTGTGAAAAAGAGGTGGGATTTACAATACATGAACATCAAGATTAGGGTAGAAACATTTCACTTCAGTAGTTTGATAAAGTTGATTCAGACATACAAACATGACTTTTCAATATAATAACATCTAACACTTATATAGTGCTTGCAGTCTCATAGCCTGTTCTTTGCATACATTAACCTCCTCAGGTTACATACATTTCAGTTTTTTACATACATTAACCCATTAAATTTTCAACACACTAAAAACAGATTTGTAGCATTAATGGACTCATTTTACAAGTAAGGAAACCGAGGAACAGAAAAATTAGTTGATTTTCAGTGGTCATAGTGACAGTTAAAAGTTGAGCCAAGATCTGAACCTAGGATGTTTGGCACCAGGTTTAAATTCTTAGCCACTGCATTATATTTAGTTACATTAAATTATGATATATTAATGTGACAAGTGTGCCAAAGATAGAAGTAGAAAATAGATAACCAGCCAAGGCTATGGAGTTTAGACAGTCAGAAAATAGTTTCAGAAGATAAGGCATCAAGAACGTCAGATAGATAAGGAAACAAAGTTCCCTGTAGATTAGGCCAAGTCAGGTGTGTGTATGTGTGTTTGTGTGTGTTCGGGGGAGGATGGTGTTCAGTTTTGAGTTAGCCAATTGTGCCTTCGATCATTTCATTTCCTAAAGATTATCCCATTTTTTTCCACCCACCAATTTGATTAGTAATCAAGTCTCACCTCCCAGAATGATAGCTCTCAAAATTTAGAAAGCTTGAAGCTTCTTAGAAATACAGATTGCTCAGGCCCACACTGAGAGTATCAGATTCGAAAACTTCTCTAGTGTACCCCATAAATAAAATCCTATTTGCTTTTCATCAATCATCCTGGATATTTATGATTCAGTGCCCCATAGTCCATGCTTTGAGAAACACAGTTATAAGAAGCTGAGAATGGACACATAGATGTCCTTCCACTCGGAAGATACAGCATGATTGAAAATTCCTACCAGGACTTGAAAGTTTTCACTCAGAATATAGAGAGCTGTGAAGAGAGTCACCCAAGACCTAATGACAAAAAAAAAAAAAAAAATACTGGATAATCAAATACTAAATATTTTCTTGAACCTGTCAGATAGATGAAATAACAAAGCAACTGAATAACCCCAAATCTAAGGAAGGGCAGGGAACTCCCAAGAGAGATGGAACACAAGTCCATGCTCACCAGTGGCAGATACCAGAAGCCACAAAAGCCAGTAGAAATAATTTCTTAAAATTGTTAAACAAATTCCTCAGTTGAGTGTGGACCTATGTGAGAACATAGAATGGGAAGGAGTCATGTATGTGTGACATAAAGGGAATTCACTCAGGTTTTTCTCCCTGGACCTGGACCACGTACTCATGAAAAAGTCTGAGGTCAGGAATAGAGATCCCAGGAGGCCTTCAGCATAGAACAGGCCTGGTAGAGGGAAGAGCAGCCACTGTAGAATGGGAACAACATCTCACCTAGTTCATCGTCCACACGGAACAAAAGCCTTCAGTCACAAGAGGAAGAGCACAAGCGAATTGGTGCTGAGGGAAGGGAGCAGAAACAAACTCTATAACCCCGGGCTGAGGTGGGTACATCGTAAGTCTCCCACAGCACTAGGGACCAGGCAGAATCAGTAAGAAGACCCAGGAACACAGCACTGCCTAAGACAGGATGAACCAGCATAGTGGGTAATATAAGATCCCTAGCTCCTACATCCAGACTAGCTGGGCTCAAGTAACAAGTAACAGTGTTCTGCTCCTGAGAGAGTGTCGAGAACATGGAGAGTAGCCTCATCTGTGGCAAAGAAACAAAGGGAAGATTGAAAGCTGATAGTGCGGTAGACATTGAGAAAAACATTCTGACTCATCAACCCAGCCCAAAACACAATGTAAAGTGAATGTGGATCCCGTGATGCATTCAGTGAGGACATTTATAGCAATAGCAGGAAGAAATGGATGACCTGGACAGTCCTTTACTTACAATATCAGTTGAAACTTTAGTTAGCAACCTTCTAACACAGAAAACTCCAGGCCCAGATGGCTGCACTGGTGAATTCTATCACACTTTTAAAGAATAAATACCAATTCTCAGCAAATTAGCCAAAGCGTATAAACAGAGCGATCACATTCCAAATCATTCAAGATACAATTGGGGCCATATAATTAGAGTCCATTTCAAAGTAAAATAAATGGATATAAAGGGATTAATTCAATGTCACAATAGAGTTCCAGGAGAAGCCACTTGCACCTATAATTATGCAGCATAATGATTAATTATTTTAAAAAATTTTCAAGTTCAAGGTATGATGTTAATTAATACAAACACCCCTAAGAATGTATGATATTGTGTTTGCTGTTGCAGTAAAAATATGTGGTATTTTTTTTCCTAGAGTGCATTTGACAGAAAATGAATGTCACGGGATGGTCTAAGGAGCATTCTGAAACCAATATCATCTGGAAGTTTCAAATGAATATTTGTTTATTAGAAGCTCTGAGAAGTTCTGCAATAAAAAATGACTAAAAACTTAATTTTATTGGCCAGGATTTTCAAACATATTTTCCCTTGAATCCTTTCTACAGATAATGTCAACAATGCCACATAAAACTAGAGAATGGTGAGTGATGTCACATGGAGCTAGAGTTCCATCTTAAACGCAAATGCACGCACACACACACACGCACAGAGTCTTGGGTAATACTGGACTACGAACATTTTTAAGACTTGCAATGTTCAATAAGAGTGAAACTCCTCTATAAAGCAGTGAAAGAAGACACAGAGACAAAACTGTTTGAAAAAGAATTGCTTGAAAAGAGATACCTGTAGTTGAGATTCTATACATACTCATTCATCAGATATGCAACACAACACAGCTTTAAAACAAAAAAGCCTCCAAATTTACCAAGATTGCTAAGTTTCCACAATTCTGTCCAGGGTGGAAAATCCCCACCTTTCTCACATGACATATTCACAGTATCAATTTCATATCTTCCAACATTAACATGGCAGAGTCAAGAATAACATTCTTTTTGAAGGGGAATCCTGGCATATGGAAAGTGCCCCAACCCCTATTATTTTGTAGTACTAGTCAGGGTAATACGCTATTTTTGTTTAAATCAGGTGTGAAGGACTTATAGTTTTTATTTGTTTATTTTGTGTGGTTTTTTTTTCGGTTGATTGTGCCTAAAAATGACAGTGACTGTGGAACGTAATATGATCAGTGATAGTGGAAGCAGAAGAAAGTATATTGGTTTTCTTCCACATGAGAAATCTGAAGTATTTCCAAACAACGGGAAATTATAAAACACTTTTATTCATGTATTTGACATGGGCTTATCTTTTCATTTCTGAGTTTGAAATGAAACCCAGGAGGCTGTTGGGCCTCCCCTAAGATAGGCTTGGATAACTTCCAAATATTCTCTTTCCATTCGAACACAGAGAATTAGTGTCATTCTCTTCTTTAACTTGATTCTTTACCAAAGCCATGTTTTTTCCTTGGAAAATACTTTCAGCACCTGTTCTCTAACCTGTTTAGTTCTGACACCATAGATTACAGGGTTAAGAACAGATGGAATGACCAAGTAGAAATTGGCCAGAAGGATGTGGATGTAGTGTGGTATATTCTAGCCAAACTAGTGAATCACAAATGAAAAAAATGCAGGGGTGTAGAAAGCCAATATGACACACACATAAGAGCCACAGATGCTGAGTGCTTTGAGCCGGGCATCATGGGAAGGCAGCTGAAAGACAGCACGAAGGATCTGGACATAAGAAATGACAATGGCTATGATGTCAAACATCAGGATAGAAATGGTACATAAACCATAGATGATGTTGACCCTGATGCTGGCACAGGATAAATGGGCAATACCCATATTCTCACGGAATGTGTGAGAGATAATATGGTGTCCACAAAATGGTAACCGTAGGATGAGTAGAACAAACGGTATGACAAAAGACAAAGGCCTCAGTAGGATTACCAATGCGATGATGAGAACCACCCTGTTTGTCAGCAATAATGTATAGTGAAGAGGGTTACAGATGGCTACATAGCAATCATAGGCCATGGCCGTGAGCACTGGAATTAGAGCCTGTCATGTGGCTGTCCCAAATATGCAAGAATAGTATCAGTAATCACATCCTCATCATCCCTATGGTATTAGATAATTAATAAGTTCTATATGTCGCTTGAAGAGAAATATTTTAACTGTTTTTATCATTACTTCCTAGCTCTAAAGTATCTCAAAATCCTGGTGCCAGGAGGTTTTTTAAGAGGAAATTTAGTTCATTAAAATAATTTATGGAGATATTTTCCATTCAAGTTTGAAGAGAAGTCCAATTTTCCAGGTTAAAACTAAGACTTAAAGAAATTAACTTACTATTCAAAGGTAATGAACATTATGTGTAGTAGAGTTGGCATTGGTAACTTTGTACATTTTCTTTGCACTGAGGCAAAGTAGATCTCATTCTCCAGATTTTGAGCCAAATCGTAATCAAACGGACTTTTGAGTTTAGAGATAGAACGATTGAAAAGATCGCATTTATTTGTTTTCTTTACTTCTATTGGAGTGAATCTCAGAAAAAGCTTAGGCAATGAATACATAGAATTAGTTTTCTCCTGTGGGCGATTATCACCAGACAAATCAAAACTTCACACCAAAGGGGCTGTACACTCATTGTGGAATGGGGTAAAAAAAATATATCAAAATCTCTTTTAGAAAACAATTTTAAATATAAAGAAACAAGTATACTAAATCAAATTATGGGGAATAATATAGCATGCTAACACTAATCAAAATAAAGTGACTATATTAATACCAGACAAAGTAGACTTCCAAGCAAAAGCTCTTATTAGGGATAAAGTGTGTCATTTCATAATTACAAAGGTGTCAATTTTTCGAGAAGAGCTCACAATCGTAAACATTTGTGTACCTCTTATCGTATCTTCAAAAGACATGCAAAGTAACTGATGGAAGTGCAATGAGATACAGATAAATCAATAATTATATTTGTGGAATTAAAAATCTATCTCAATAATTAGTACAAGAAGCAGAAAAACATAAATAAGAGTATAAATGATGTCAAACACTATCAAGCACCTTGCCATAATTGTCATTACTAGAAGATTTCACCTGAAATGAGTCAGATAGAAATTCTTTTCAAGTGCTCAGATACAATTTACCAATATAAAACATATCCTGACCTATAAAACACATATCAATAACATTAAGATGATTCAAATAATACAAAACTTGTCAAAAATTTTTGATTAAATCATAAATCAATATAAAAAGATTGCTGGAAACTCTGAAATAATTGAAAATTGAATAATACATTCCTAAATAACATGTGGGTTGAGAGAAACTACAATATATTTGAATATTTTTTTTTTTGGCTTGAGGAAGATTATCCCTGAGCTAATATCTGTGCCAATCCTCCTCTACTTTATATGTGGGATGTCGCCAAAGTGTGGCTGATGAGTGGAATATGTCCACACCTGGCATCCGAACTTGGGAACCCAAAGCCACTGAAATGGAGTGTGCAGATCTTTAAGCACTTGGCCACAGGGTCAGCTCCTAGAAAATATTTGTAAGTGAAGAATTAAACACATCATATGAATATTTTGGGATACAGCTAAACTAGTGCTTAGAAGGAACAGTGTGTAGCATTAACTGCCTTAGTAGAAAGTGAGAAAGATGCCACTGACCTCAGCTTCTTCTTTAAAAATCTAGAAGAAGAGAAAATGCAACCTACAAGTAAGAATAAAGTAAATAATAAGAGAAAATCAATGACATAACAAATGTATAAAGAGATAATCAATGAAAACCAAAAGTGTTTCTTTCAAATACCTCAATGTAATTAATAAATCTCTTGACAGACTGATAAACAAAAGATACAATTTACCAATACCAAGAACGAGAGAGGTGACATACCTACAGACACTACAGATATTAAAAGAAAATAAAAAGCTAATATGAACAACTTTATGTCAATAAATTCAATAACCTCGATGAAATGGAAGCATTCCTTGAAAGACACAAACTACCAAAGCTCACCAAGAAGAAATGAATTATTTGAGTAAATAATATTTATTAAAAATTTAGAATTAATAAACACCTCACCATAAAGCAAATCCCAGAACTAGATAGCTTAACTGATGAGTTTTACCAAACTTTTAAGAACAAAATAATAGCAATTCTATACAAACTCTTCTAGAAAATTGAAGAGGCTACGTTCCACTAATTTTATGAGGCCACTATCACCCTAGTTCTAAAATCTGAAAAAGCTCTCATAAGAAGAGAAACACAGACCAATATCCCTCATAAATATATGTGCTAAAATTCTTAGCCAACTGAATCAATCAATCAATAAAAAAGATATTATTTTGAGACCAATCAGGATTCATCCAGGGATATACATTTTCCTTTCTGTCCTGGGAAACAATCATCTCATAGTCAGTTGCTATATTCTGTGCAGGTAGAATTTACGTAAAACTCTTTCAAAACTACCAAACTTAGTGGAGAAAGCCCTAAGTCAACTCCTATCTCTTTCATCAGAAATAACATCATTGTAATTTGGGTAGATTGCATGAAATCCAGACTCGTGGTGGATCTAATTGATACAGTTGAGATCACCCCTCGATTGGATTTTTATAATTGATTGTTAAAAACAGCAGGAGAGGGGGCTGGCCCCGTGGCCGAGCGGTTAAGTTCGTGCGCTCCGCTGCAGGCGGCCCAGTGTTTCATTGGTTCAAATCCTGGGCGCGGACATGACACTGCTCATCAAACCACGCTGAGGCAGCGTCCCACATGCCACAACTAGAAGGACCCACAACGAAGAATATACAACTATGTACCAGGGGGCTTTGGGGAGAAAAAGGAGAAAAAAAAAAAAAACCAGCAGGAGAGATAAAGATGTATTATAAGATGTTGGTTTATAGCAGTAGTAGCAGTAGCAATCCCAGACTGACTTTAGTTACCATGTAATGAACTTAAATTTGGACATTTTAGGTGGTGGTGTTTTCATCATCAAGCTCTGGTGGGAGTTATTTTCAATAATTTTGTACAAAGATTCTAAACAATAATAACAAAATAGTACGAAGCTGCATCAAAATAAAGTACATCTGTTATCTATGCATCTTTAGCATTGTTTCTATTTCACATCCTATGACAAAAAGATCTGACCTTAAATTTCTGAATGGCTTCAACTTCTGTCCATGACTACTCTTCCTCTGCTGTTTTCTCCACAGTGAGATCCTCAATCTATTTGTGTATATAGCTAACCCAGTCTTGAAACATTAAATTCTAAGATCCTATCAGACCACATCTCACATTTTTCTAGCCCTCTCAAGCATTTTTCTTGTCACCTCTGTACTCAGGTCACATCAAGTTCTATAGTCCCTGGTTCATTCTTTTTCTTCAAAATTATTTCTTCCCTATCAGCTTCACTTGTTCAGCTTTTCAAAAGAGATCCCTTGCCATATCTGTCATTTTTTCTTTTGTTTACTCTGCTGTCTACTGTGAATATATCTGCTCAAAATTCAGCCCTGAACCTCTGAAACCACTTCTCTTCCAACAGCTCTGGTTGCTGACAGTTTTTAGAGAAAAGTTACAGAATTATGCCAGCTGAAGCCTCCTCAGGTGGGGCTTCTAAGCTACATGAAAATCCTTTCCTATCTCCTTTTGTTAGTATTTTTTTTTTTTACATTTTCTTCAGTAAAGAAGTTAAAGTTGTGCTTTTCTTAAATTGTGTCTTATACGTTTATTCTTTAACTCTCAGCACTTCCTCTTTTCTCCCTAGGAAATCAAAATGATCATGCAAGTAATATTTTCATCCTTTTCGCTCTTCTCTTACTTAGTTGTACAAGTGCTTTTACTCCAGCCTGAAGCTCATATTTCCATCTCTGCCTTGAATCAAATCTCCTTTCAAATCTGCATGTACCATTCTTTATTCTCTCTCTCTTCCCATCTCTGTCTCTGTCTCTTGTATTTTACCTTCCCCACCCTTCATGATTTTCACCCATATTCTTGACCCAAGCTTAAACTAATTTGAAAAAAAGCTGGATTTTTGAAATAGTTTATAACATGATCGATCTCCGTTTCCTCCTATTTCATTGACTACTCAATGGATTATAAAGATTATAAACCAATTTTCAATTGAAAATTTTGTGAATATCATAAATTATGTCCCTCATTGCTATGGCCTTGAATATAAATTAAATGTGCTTCTTCTATCCTCTGAGGAATACTCTATTAGTGGTCATTTTCCTTCCATAAGGATTCTGGGTACAAATGGATCTAGAAATGATTGAAAACTTTACAAATGGTTTTTAAACGATGTCAAGCCTTAATATTTTTTTCTAATAGCTTTAAAATTCATGGATTCTGGATCTTTTTTGTTTGTTTGTTTGTTTGTTTTTGTGAGGAAGATTGGCCCTGAGATAACATCTGTAGCCAGTCTTCTCTTTTTGCTTGAGGAAGATTATCTCTGAGCTACCATGTGCCAGTCTTCCTATATTTTGTATGTAGGACGCTGCCACAACATGGCTTAAGGAGCAGTGCATAAGTCTGCACCCAGCATTCCAAACCCACGAAACCTGGGCTGCTGAAGCAGAGCTTGTGAATTTACCCACTACACCACTGGCCAGCCCCTTGATCTGGTATTTTTTACCACCATGTTCAATGAAGACATGAGTAGGAAATATTTACTCTGAGAGCTGGTTGGACGACAGAGGAATATATAGAGTTATCTGTAAGATAAATATAGAATGGTGGTAGCACAATAGACAGAAGAAAAACTGAGTTGAATAACAAATAAAGACTTAGAGAACAACAGATAACATAGAAAGGGAATTGAAAAGGTATTTTCATATGCACACACACACACACACACACCCTCCATCACTTATCCACACATTTAAGAATAACATTTCATAAGGTCGTTGTTGGAGTACACACCTGAGTCTATGTAAATTATTATCTTGTTACACTGTAGGCTCACCGATAGCTTCCATATTCACTTAGCTTTCTTTTTTTCTGCATTCCTGTCATCTATTGTAGCTCCTCAACCTAAATCTCAATGAAATGGCCACAGTACAATGGTTTTCTCTTAGTCAATCTTTCTAGCCCAAGACCAGCCTTACCAGCAAAGCTTTTTGGATGATCTAGTTCACTTGCCCCAGGATGTTTTCATTTTCACCCACTCTCACTGAAATGGGAGATTTATACAAACATTGGTGTCCTTTGGAGAAAAGAGGTGTCCAGAGGCACTGAGATTGATGCTTCATAAATATAAAACATAACATCATTGATAATAAAAAAATAAATGTGCTGATTCTGGATGCTGATTCCCAATTTTGGGGTGACTTCTGAATCAGCTTGTCTCTTTGCAGGAGAGTCTATGAGGAGGGCTTACCTCTCACTCTCACTCTTTTCAACATCCTCTAGTTCTAGATTCTCCACATGGGCCCCATGTACAAGTAGAGATGATTTTATATGACAGTTTGGCAAGTCATTGGGGGTTTCTTTTTTATTATCATATTGTTTACCTTTCTCTCATCTGGTCAATTTCTCCAAAACTTACCTACGTCCTCTCTCTCACACCGGTCCTAAGGCACAATTCAACCTAAGATACTATCACGATAAAATTGAAGCTCAACTAGTATCTGTCATTTCATGGAGTGAGGTATTCATTAGAAGAACTTAGGTGAAGGAGATAATACAACAATATAAGGACCAGTGGTTTTGCACACTGCTTCCTATCTTCCTGGTTCCTTTTAACAGTAAAATGAGACTGTTTAATTTACTTGGAAAAAGACAGAGGTCTAGGGAATCAAATGAGAGATACAGGAAAGTGGCTAAATGGGTGGACTTTGAGGCAGACTACATTGGTTTAAATCTCATCTCCTCTACTTAATGGATTCATGAATTTGGGCAAGAAATTTCAACTCTATGTCTCCATTTCCTCCTTTATAATGATCACAACAATACCTTGTCCAAAGCATTGTTGTGAAGATGAAAAAAGCTAACACTTGTATAGCACTTAAAACAACTCCTGATATATAGTAAGAAATGTGTAACTGTTTGTTCATAATAATGATAATCTGATATTCCCAGGCTAGGATATTCAATGGAAGCTCATACTGATAGGAGCTGCCATAGAGATGCCTCCCAAAATTCACTCTTGGAGTTATAGAGGAGTCAATATATGACATCATCTACCTTTCCTAGATTTATTACCAATAAAGAACAAAATGTGTGAGTCAAAGAAATGGCTTTCAGAACATCAGCATTATTACTCAACGAAAGCTGGGTAGTGTTTCCTGGCTAAGTTATGCATCTCAACTGGTAAACTGGGTTTTTTAACAATCTTTGCTCTCTTCCCCCACTCCCTTTTAAATTTAACTTACCTAAAACCTCAGGCTTTTGGTTGCAGGAGCAGAGCCCTATTAGGAAACTAATGAAATCCATGGATTTGAGAGAGTGACTCTGGGATGTACAATCAACACTGTCATGTAACAGATCTCTGTGTTTCTAGATTTCCCATTGACTGTATTGATCTTTTTTATTTGTTCTCTTGTCAATTGTCTACATTCATAATTTCAATGGTATATTAAAATTCTTGATATCTCATAGTGCATGTCCTGTTTCTCTCTCCTAGGTCTTTAATGTACTTTCTTGCTAATTGATTTTCTATATGATTTTTTTAAAAGTTGTTTTATCGTGGTCATATTGTCTTACAACATTGTGTAAATTTCAAGTTTCTATTATTATACTTCGGTTTATGTATGGACTGCAACACGTTCACCACCAGTAGTCTACTTTTTATTGTCACCATTCATCTGTGCCTCTTTAACCCTTTCACTCTCCTCCCACCCCCTTCCCCTCTGGTAACCACAAGTATGTCCTCCTTATCTATGTGTGTGTTTATCTTTCATATATGA